GAATTTATATCCATATGGTGAAGATAAGTATCTGGTTAGTGTCAACTTTTTTAAGATCAATTTGAGGCATACATTCAGACTCTGAGATACTAAGTTCCCCGTCCATGAATTTATCAGCAAAGCTCAAGGTTTCTGTGTGAATTATTGTAATTATTTATAGCAAATAATGAATGAATCTCTTACCTCAATAATGCAGACTTCTGGTTCTTGTTTGTCTCCTCCACTGGTACCTTAGCAACCCTCTCAACCCACTCCTGAATGGCGTCAGTAATGTGTGGCACAACTGGAAGACGAAAAGTGAAGTCCAGTTTCAATAACCAAACTACAATTATCAACACTTTTGCAGGCAGCATATACCAAAAAAGCTTGCATGAAAACTCCTTTTTCCTTACTTTGTATCATTGTTTCCCTTACAATATTCCAGTGACCTTATCACATTTGAATAAATACCAGTAGGTCAATCCTTACTAGTGATATTTGTGTTATTCAAGTCCCAAGTACATCAGGGTATACACTTGCTCATTTAGTGTACCATTTATGATGACCTTTTAGACTTTTTCGAAATATTGTTGGTAGCACCCTAAATGCATTAACCACGAATAATAAAATCCTAACAAAGATGAAATGCCAGAGTCTCCTTAAAACAAAAATTACGGGTAATACTTTTATATTCACCTTGTACAGTCTTCCCGAGGTAGTCTCCTTTCCTTTCTTTGTTGATGACATGTTGATATATTTTTCCAGTCGTGATGTTATTATCTCTATGTAATGTGATATCTAAAAATCTTTCGTAATTTCCCAAATCTAAATCAACTTCACCGCCATCGTCTAAAACGAAAACTTCACCTGCGGGGAAAAAATTGAAAGAACATGTAAAACGTTTTAATGTAATGCATCTTTGGATGACTAGTTTTCAAATCAAAAACAATATTGTGTATCTATAATACTTGTCAGAATTTTGAGATCATACTAAAAATAGAATTGACGTAATCAGCAAATGCCATCTCGCTTGATAGATCAACCAAGGTGTGCACACTTAACAATTGTCGCGAACATTAATAGTTATTAATTTCGAAGTTACTGTTATATTTGATGTTACGTTGATACTGCCAATATCCAAGTGAAATGCATAAATTATGTTAATTAGGGTCAGTCAAACCAATATATTGGTGATGAAAATATAGTTTAAATGAGCTAATTTTATAGATATTCTGGATGTAAATTAGATGACACGATCTACAATTTTTTTTCCTTCTGCAATTGATTCATATCCACTGAATATTAAACTGTTCAAGGGTGTAATACCAAAAATTATAAATTGACAAAAATTACCAGCACTAATAGCTAATAGCATGCAACAATGATAGTGCACTTTAATATATATCAATGTGCATGTCGAGCTATTTATTTGAAAAATACAAACTTATTTAATGAGAGAATTCAGCGGATTAATTCTCACATTTGCAGAAGCACATGCTTAGTAACCTAAAAATCATAGATAATTACTATTTGAAAGACATGTACTAAACATAGTTGAACTCTGGTGACCTTGCCCTTTGTTATATAATATAATTCCCTTTATCATAGCTTGTTTCAATATAAATATGCATTGTCATAATTAATTTTGAATCAGTCTAACGAATGTCCTTAAAAGATGTAAATATCTTACAAAAACATTGGTGCCTTATTTGTTTAATTATTTTAAGGAACATAATTTCCAGCTTTATTCAAAGTAATTGAGATATTTTAGAATAAAAACAAATGTATCATTGCAAAAAAAAAGTGCTGCATTTAGATGTGAATAGATTCATAAAACATGCAAGATAACAGAAAATTTTAGCTGGCTTTAGTCCAAGTATTTTGTACAGATGTCTGTCAAAAATGAATGATTCACTGAGACAAATTGTGTGACTACTGTATTATATGAAAAGTAAAAAAAAACACCCTTTATGAATAGCTATCACGTTGCAAGCTCTGCTTTGTATGCAAATCAACTTAAATAGTTAGTTGGTGTCCAGTGGAGGGAGAAGTCAACAGTACTGTTGCCTCCTGAGAAACTACATCTTCAAACACTGCAATCTCTGAAGTGCGTTTTTAAACTAGTATTATAAAAACTATCATTCTGTTCTAATAGCTGAAACATATTCCTGTGAGTTTTCATTTGTCGAATGAACTGTTTGTCAAATACAGAATACATATATTTTAGAATAATTTTCTTTTTAAAATGTGGATGAAATGTTTTGTTTTTAATGTATTTTTTATGTATTGTTTTTGATTTGATAACTTTTGAGTAAACAGATTTTCTATTAGCTTCAGATCTTGATCAAAGTTTGGCACCCAGTTCATAGCAGTCCTCATATTGATTTTCTGACATCTTGTTTTCTGTAAAGATTTTATTGGTAGGTTTGCAAATGTGTATCAGACTGTGCAATCTCTCCATGAGTTGGTTTTGAAACCCAGTATGGGATTCTGAGATACATTACCAAGGATATTATTACAAGATAAATCATTTGCTTCATTGAACACATATAACAATGCATATTTCCACTGAGATCAGTGACCTTTGATGTGTATCACCAGTGATCAGTCAA